TGTCGGGATCAAATAGCAGGTATAGATACTTCGTAGTTTCTGCGAGGAAAAATGACTCCATCCTATTTTGAAGTGTGTGTTTTTTACAACTTTTAATCGTAGCATATCCACAACGTGTACGGCTACTGTGTTGAATAGACCGTAGAATATCACTTCCAATGTCTAATAAATAAGGATCTCCATTAGTTGCCTTGTATAAATACATGGTAGACTCAACCAGTTCAGGACGTAATGGAAATGAATCCCTAGCAGCTTCATGGTTTAGAACATTATATACTTCGGGAGTAAATCCATACAATTTAAGTACATCATGGTAATTTGACATAGATTTCATAGCAGAATCTATTTCTCCAATTAAACTTAAAAGTCCTGGCCAATATGATTCCAATGATTGATATACGGGCATTGTTACTTGACCCTTTTGCATGTTTACCCAAAAATACCACCCTGAAGAAGTTGCTGAGTATTTATCAATAGGTTTTTTTAACTCATCAAACATTTTTCTTAGGTGAGGTAAGTTAAATAACAAAGAACCTTTAACTAAATACTCAAAATAAGAATCAATTCCACCACCAATGCCTGAATCGTGAGCAATCCATTGCCCAGAGGCCACGTCCAAATGGTTACCCATTAATCCCATTTTAGATCTATGGTTGAATAATGAATGGAGAGCTTTTAGGGCTACCTAAAAAATAATAAAATTTAACTTATAGTTATATCATGAACAGTGATCAAAATAAGTTATAAAAATAATAATATCACTGAAAACGCTGACTTTTTATTTACAATATGTATCGATATCAAACATAAGAGTTTTTTGTTTAAATTTGTATTGAATAATAATAATAAGATAATTGTCAGAATTAAATAATTATTTAACATAAGCCAATTGTAAATATAGTTTGATATCTAATTATAAACACTTAATAAACAGGCACATTAATAACTTTAAATGTATTTAGCGAAAACGGAAACATAGGACAATAAAATATAGAACGTTGTATGTTCTTTGCAACAATTTTAGGTTAATACAAGTTACTTAATAAACAAAAAAAAAATATTTTTTTCTTACAGCAGAAAGTTTTTAGTAGACTGTTCTTATAATAGATTACAAAAATTGAAATTTTATGTTTCACAGTATTTTAATAATAATTTAAGTCACACTATTTTTATAGATTTATTCCAACAATCGCTTATAATTTTATGAACTATTAGTTCTAACTATAGTTTAATAAGATAAAATAAATTAGAAATATATATATAATATATTAATAAATTAATATGAAACCTGTAATAAATAATGGTTTTAGCGAAAAATATTTTTTTATAAAAAAATATTATTTGTGTGACAAACTTAAATTTTTTTTTACATACATACAGTGTTGATTTGAAAAAAATTTAACAAACAATTTTTATAATATTTTTATAAAAATCAAAATTGAAAATAAGGAGTTTGCTACATTAAAAACATATATTTTAAAATTGATTTAGAAAATAATATTTACGGGTACAGCTACAGTTAAATGTATAAGCACTTATTTTTAAACGAAATAAACAAAAACTTTCATAATAAAATAGCAGCATTTTTTTATAACACAGATAATCTATGGAATAATATAAATTTTAATACATGTCGAAATTATAAATGTTATTATAAATGAATGGTCGTAATATTTTTTTTTCGTATCATTATATTATATTAAAACTAGTAGCTTTAAAATAAGATTTACATAAAGATAAAAATAAGAAATTGAGAAACTAATATTTATATTTATATTATATATTTTAAATCACAGGTCCATTTAAATAGTTGAGTTAATTTAATTATTAAATCAGAATTATATTTATGTTTTAAAAAAGTACTAACGTATTATAAGGTTAAAATCAGAAATATAAAATCACAGATATTAAATTAAATTATATAGATGCAATTTATCTAATATATTAACTAGCTATTTTGATAAAAATAAAATGTTACCTAATCATTAATTGCATATATTTTATAAATAACAAATATGTTTTATGTAATTTTCATAGTGTAATATTAATTAAAAACGCATAATTATTGGAAATATACAAAAATTATTATTACTATATTATATATGAAAGGAACAGAGACCAACAACAAAAAGTTATGTAAATCCAATTTATACACCATTATTTTCGTAACAAATTGTATGAGATTAAAAATAACTTATAACTTTTTTCATCTTAATTTGAAAGAAATGTAAGGTTTTATAATAATGATTTATTATTATGACCTCATTTATAGCATAAAAATATCATATTTACTTTATCTAAATTGAATCCTAACATTACACAAATAATTTACAATAAATTAAACGTATCAAATATAGAACTAAAAACTTTCATAATTAGTCTAATCTAAATGATAAATTTTCAATAATCATCAAATATCATCATTCAAATTGTTAATAAACAATAGTTTGTAAGTATTTCAACAATTTACGAACGTCATGTTCATAAAATATATTAAAAATATTATATTGGAGGGGCTTAGCAATAATAATATTATATGGCACGGAAAACAGATTGTGTGCTGTGGTGTTAATAAATACTGACAAGGGACCCGAACTCCAATAGTGTGTGGCGTAGAGAATTAGAGAGTAGTTAGGAAAAATATATATAACAACAGAGCGTAATCAATTAAGAATTGAAGTCAATGATCCACCAAGGTCGATACTCAATATTTAGTAAGTGTTCAATAATATTATCTAAATTAATGTTTTAAATGTACACTAAAAAGTATATTTAAATTTAGTATATAAAGTTTAAACTTAAAATTATATAACTACGCTAATTATATTAATTAATAAATTTCCCGTATTCATAATTTATTAATAAAATCTTATAATACGATAAGTCAACTTCAACACATTTTAAGTAAAATAACTAAATATTCAATGACGATGGATAAATTATACAACAGATAATACACAGAAAACCAATGTAAGACTCATAAACTTTAATTTGTATGCATATACCTGTATTGATACATATAATACAGAATTTAGCTATCACGAAAAAACATATTATTGAAAATCTACAATGTGCATTGTTAATATTATCAATGAAATTAAATTTTTAGAAATATAAGAACTACGAAAAATAAACTTTAGTATAAAATAATATTGTAATGATTAATTTGCATCGAAATATTACATAAAATTACTTATTTCATTATAAATTTCTATATAAAAAAAAAAAATTATTTTAATATTGATATAATGGTTTTAATTTAGGGTTCACCAACACTGAAAACGATTGATGTAAAATGTACATTTATTATTGTGAATTATTAATAATAATAGTAATCTAAAAAAAAAATGATGTTGCAAATTGTAAAAAACAATCTAAAGTTCAAATTAAATGATTTTCCTGTTAAAAAAAATAGCAAAGCAGGGTTTACTGTTTTTTATCTACAACAATATCATTAATTATTATATTGATTTTTATTGCAATATTATTTAAATATTAATAACTAATTTTCTACTTATCAACTTATTATATTTCCGGGGATAAATCGTTTACGTTAAGCGGCCCACATACACTTTCGGTTTTAATGACAGTTTTAATCGTAAGTGTTTACCAGTATAATATTCATCGATCTAGAATAATATTCATACACTATCATTCTTAAAATACTTATTTATCAGTACGTGCTTACCTATATAACCGCGAGACACGAATTCCATTTTCAGAAATATTGTGAATTTTTGTCTAGTTGAGTACATATTCGAAATTTGTGTGAACAATTATTCAGTACCAATATTATTATTTTAAGTACAATATACTCAGTTTAAAAATACGAATTTTTTTTAATGGCAATTTATGAAACTTGTATACTAGCCATTGCAGCAGTTTTAATAAAAAAAAGAAAAGAAAAAAAAGCATAACGTAAATGTTCAAAATGGACCAAACATTAGTTATTATTATGAAATTAATTTTAGCAAATCAATTTCATAAATGAGCTATGCTCAGAACCATTAGACTGGTATAATTATTTAAGAATGGATGAAGATTGTTATCGCGAAATATTACTATTGTTGACACTTTACATACAGAAAAAAGACACAAGATTTAGAAAATCTACATCAGCTCACGATCGTCTTTGAATTATCTCGAGATTTTTAGCGACAAGAAGAACATAAGAAGATTTAAAGTTTTCAACTGTTTTAATTAGTTCAAGTATTAAGAAATAATTCCTAAGATAATAATTAGTACTCTTCAAAAAGATTATATGAATGTAAATAAAATATTATGATTAGTATGATTTTTTCGACTATACCATATATATAGTTTTGGCTTTTGAACATGACATTTTTTAAGTTTTTTTCGAAATGTTCCATGAAATTAATTAATTTTTTAACGATCGTTTCTTTAGTAAAATTTTAAAACTTCTTTAAATTTATTAATCAAAATATACAAATGAAAACAGATGAGCAGGCACGTGTATACACCACACAAGTACTATGTTGTAATCGCTGAAAACGAGTATACACGAACAATATTATTATCAGTTATGCCGGCAGTACACTTTCGCCAAGACATCGCGAGAGCAACCGAGCGCAAGTAGGCTAGACGCGCTTGTGTCACCTCGCCTAGCCTCGCCACGCCTTGATGGTACTCGGTCGGAAGACGGTTTTTTGTGCCCAAGTCAAAGGGCACGAGGCTAGTCGAGGCGAGAGCTCGAGATCCGCCAGTTCTTAGTCGTGCATTTTTGCATATTCGTCGGTGTTTTATTTTGTAGTGCTTTTCGTCATGTATGATTACAGTCTAATAAATTCACATTAAAGTTTTTGGAGTTACACCAAAATGGACTCGTTTTATGAGATCCGAAGCATTCGTACCACAAGGACAGAAAACAAATTAACAATGCATGGGTTCGATTATGCGGACAACTGGAATATTCAGTAACCGAGTTAAAGAAGAAAAAGACTAGCTAATGACTACATTTAAGGGCCATAAAAAAGCTTCAGTCAGATCAGGAACCAGTGAAAATTATATTTACGAGCCAATATAGTTTTCTTATGAATATATTTTGAGTTTTTTCTAGCACCAGTTTACGAATGCCAGACAACTATTAATCAGAGTTCTTAACACAAAAATGCGAGTGCACGTAACCCGAGGTTAGCCGAGAATGTACTACGTACACTCGCGCTTCCTCACCTAGCCTAAATTCTCGCCGAGACTTTTATGACGAATGTGTACTACTGGCATTAGGATATAATTGAAAACCCGAACCGGACAAAAATCAAAATAATTTGATTTTGTTTTTTCAATTATATTTTATCAGTTTTAACCATACCTATATTCAGGGCCGATTTAAGCTCTTTCAGCGCTGAGTGCAAGAATTATTTTGAAAATCTTCCATCTTAAACGATTTAAACAGGTAGATTGGAAGCTGGAGGGGCGTCATTATACATATTATGAGTATAACCTAAGCCTCATTCATAATCAAAAATGCTCAAAATAATTTTTTAAACATGCAAATTAAATATGCAAATTTTGCCAAATATTTGTACATTATTCAAAGAACAAACATAATGATACTTGTAATAATATAGCGATAGTTTATAAAATTGTAATTGTACCTACAAGTGCGGCCAATCCTTATATGTCGATAGAATAATAAATTATGATAATTATAATAATAATCTAATTTATACTAATCACATTTTTTTTATCCATAGTAAATAAATTGCGTTGCCAACAATTGATTAAATATAATTCAAATTTTGACGCATCTCACTTGTCCATCTGATTTTGGAGCCCTGTACTGTCGCACGCATCAATCGTATCTAAAGCCTACATTATCCGTTTCACTCGCACGTACGATTGAAATTGTCATTAAAACCGATAGTATATGATTCTTGCTTTAATCACTCATCTTACTAGTCACTACGAAAATTTGAAAAAATAACATTTTAAGTGATGATATGTAATTTAGTTATATTATAATTTATTTTTACCATAATTATTTTTAAGTTTTTGCTTTTTTTTTAATGGCTATATGTATTTTAATTAATAATAATAAAAAAAAAAAATTACTTTGATAAAAATGGTATATTTAAATTTAATATCGAACCTAAAATTATATGTAAATAATTATAAAGGTATATTAATATATTTTAGTACTCTGCTTAAATCATGATATATTATAATCCAATACGTACAATTACTTTAAATAAAACAAAAATGCAAGAATCAATAGTATTTGTAATATTATTTTACTAATTTATTATATACTCGTACATCCACAATATACGTAAATGTAAACGTAATATTCATAAAAGAAGTATAACAGTGTACGATAGAACATAAATTGTATTCTAGAACCATACATTTCCAATTTTTCCGTAGTTACATTTTAACTAGCTTTAAATATCAAATTGTATAGAAATAAAATACAAAATACATTTTAATACAACTAATTAACAAAATCGATATCAGCAAATTATATATATATATAGTTAATATAATAGTTAATTAATATATATAGACTAATTATCTATACTACTATATAAAATGAAGTCGCTTTTTTTTTGTTCGGGATAAACTCTGAAACTACTTATTGAATCGTCGTGCAGTTTTTTTGAAATTAAAGAGGACATCACAGAAAAGGTTTTAGGCGTAAATTTCGTCCGATAAAGTTAATGAATAATTAGTTATTAGTTATCTATATATATATATAGTCAAAAATGTATAACATTTCATCAATTGAGAACGGCTAGACCGATTTAGCTCAAATTTTTTTTAATTGTTTGCAATTGCCAGGAGAAGGTTTTTACGAAAAATTTTTTTGGAAAAGTGCTATTGTTTAATAAATCATAGTTTAATTTAATAATTTTTGACGTAGTAAATTACGGGTATTGCATAAATATTAAACAAAAAGATCCCGCAACAGGTGCCAAAACAAATATGAATGTTAGTTCGAAAAATTATTATGGATATCGGTTGATGATTAGGACAAAGTTATTCTATGATGTCATGAGCTTTGTCAACAAATCATGGTCGAAATGTATGTAAAGATAGAAAGCGAACGATTTCGATACTTGCGATTCAATCAAAAAAAGCTGCGTGCGGAAAGTTCTCAAAATAATTGTTAGATATCAGTGATGGGAAAGTTATTACAGATAAAACGGGAAGCATACAACTACCGACCGATTTCTGCACAATCATTTATTTGCAAGATTCTCTCATTGATCAGATATTTCCCAATGTACACAGGCAATACACAAATCATGAGTGACTGGCAGAAAGGGCAATTTTAGTAGTAAAAAATGTGGACATCAACGAATTGAATCTCAAGATAAACATTTATTATTAGGAGACATGGTGTCATATAAATCTATAGATATAGTTTGCTATGCTACTAAAGCTGTAAATTATCTAACAGAGTTTGTAAACTCATTGGACTTACCAGGCATGCCACCGCATAATTTATAATTGAAGGTTTGTTCTCCGGTTATTTTGCTTCATAATTTGACCTACCACGGTTGTACAACGGCACGCGAGAAGTTGTTAAAAAATTAATGAAAAATGTTATCGAAGCCATAATTTTAAATGGCAAATTCCGAGGTGAAAATAAATTATTACCGCAAATCTCTATTATACCCATAGATGTGCCAATACAATTTAAACGCCTTAAATTTCCAATTAGATTGGCATTTGCAATGACTATCAATAAGTTTCAAAGCCAAACAATGTCTGTAGCTTAGATTTGAGCACATCATATTTTTCACACGGATAATTATACGTGGTGTGCTCTCGAGCCATCCAGTTTGTGTTGGCGAAAGATGGGATAACAAAAAATATTGTACACTCTGTTGCATTAAGGGATAGATATTGTTTTTTACTAATATTGTCATAATTAGTGATTTATATAATTTTAAAGGATCAATTTTAATAAATTATTAAAAAAGTAAATGTTTGATGATTTTTCATTTTTATATTCCCTCACCGTTCATAACACTCCATATCTCTTCCTTACATCCTTATCTTTACCCACATTCTTGCATGCCTATATTTAATTAGTTATTTTTTTCTAGCAGAATATTCTCTAGAAATAGTTTATATGACAAAACAACGTTTGTCGGGTCAGCTAATATTATTATATTTATAAAGTACATTATATTAAGTACATGTTTAATTTAAAAAAAAAAAAAATTTAGTAATATTCCTGATATAAATGTGTATAAAATAAAATAACCGTTTATAAACAACATGACGTTTATTTTCAATAGAACATTTTTTATATTACTGCCTAAGCCTATTCTCAGATAGGAGACTATCTAAAAAATTTGGAAATGTAACATTCCATGTTCATTAAAAACATTATTGACTTACTGGGTATACTTGAAATAATCATAAATATAAATTAGCATTATATAAAAATTGTTTAACAAAAAATAAAATAATAATGTGAATCCAATCTTATATTTACTTCAAATTTATTAGGAAACCCCAAAAACCAAACAATATTTATGATTTTTTTTTTTCTTTAACAAACCCAATTATAGTTTTTCACTCTACAGCCAACTGTTTAAATTGGGAATCAATTTTTAACATATTTTTTATTTTTTATTGATACTTAATTTATTTTAAATTCGGTTTCTAAGTACTCCAAAAGGCCAAAGTAAATATTCATAAAACATATGTGTATTTAATCAATCTACTTTTACTCTTTTTTTAATTATTAGTCAATGTATAAAACATAACACTTCAAAAATGTAATTAAATCTAATTTTTTTTTTGTTACATAATTATAAAACTTAAAAAAAAAAAGTCCTTTCTAATTTATAACGTAATAATAGTAGTAGTAAAAGTAATTTTCAGTATTTAATAAATTTAAATAATGTATTTTAATTAAAGTATATGTTTATTACATATTTTCAAATAATTTATATAATTGTCATCTTTATTACACAAATCAATTGCTTTTAAATAATGAGTACACATTTTTAAATATTACTAACCTGTTCAAATATTAAATCACCAGTAAGTCGAGATAGTGTTCCAAATTCTAAAATAAATGTGCCAACTCCTGCGGTACAAGTTACTGTTGTTTCACCTTCAGGTACACCAGAACGAAGATTAACTGTTCCATAAGGCATACCAGTAGGAGTGTTAAATGCTGGTAATAATCTTCTTGCTACATTTTCAGCCATGCGCAACAGTGGTCCATTACATGGCCATCCTATTTCTAAATTGTCGGTGGCTCTATAAAAGAATAAAAAATTCTGAGTTATAATAAACAGATTGTAATGATTAGAAATACAATACAGCATAGAAACACGTGCTAAACAAATAACAATACCTATGAGATAACATATGGGCACTTAACAATCCACCAACAACTCGTATATTTGTCTCGAAAACTGATACATTAATATCAGCATCAAATGAAACATTGAACTTTATGTAGTCAACTGCCTTATTAAATTCATCATGAAGACCCATTACGATGAGTGTATCTAGTGCATCAATCAACGATAACGAATAGCTAAAATCACAAGTTTATTAAGCATTTACAGACTTTAAAATAACAAGTATATACCTGCCCCAGGTATCTACGCCATCACAAGTCAATGGACGTAACTCATCATAAGGGTATGCATAATCCATATAACCATGATAGGCATGTTCAAACATTTCCTTTACTTCCAATCTAAAAAAATTTAAAAAAACAAATATCACTAATTGTTAAGCTAGCAAACAGTGAAGCATTGGAAAATATACCTCAGCTGTTGGAGTCGATTCCTATCATAGTGCCGTGAACATGAGCCGTATCGATGGAGCAATAATAGCATAAATGAAAAATTAAACAAAACGTTCATAATTAGGTGTTTGCTATTTTTTTTTTTTGTCAAATGGATAGTAATTAAGATTTTATAAGCTTTTGCTATAAATGTTTGTACATATTTCTTTGTTCTTGTATTCGTCTTCTAAAAGTCGATAATGAACCAAAAACATTAAAACGTATTAACATTACCGGGCAATATTATTGACGGCAACAAATTTTGAATAGCATTTGCAATCGGTACAACCAAATAATGTTATCAGTACATCGAATAAATAATTATTTCACTGATAACGTAAGTGCAACGTTTATCACGTTTTAAATTTTGTATGTCGTGTCGTTTACAAAATGTGTTACATAAATTTACTATTCTGTGACCGTAGACATCCGTATTCTTGTGATAAGGTCAACCTGGTAAACGTTTGCCGCACACGCCATCGGCCGACTGTTATCAGATAAAAGAGTAAAACACATAGACTGATTACACCGAGTCGTAAACAAAAAGTATGTTTCTTTTTCCCCCGTTTCAATTCCTATAAAAATCACCCAACGTTTGAACGTCGACTATGCGTACGTGTTAAACTGTTTTGTATTTCCGTTTGACTCGTACGGATTCGCTAACAATGTCGTTTGTCGACTTGTTGTTCGCCGCATCCCGCTTGATACTCTACATTGTAAATATAACATTTCGCACTTATATAGTATTATTATTGTTTTTTCCTTCTTTACACAAAATTCATCTAAATACGATTTTTTTTCGTTCTAGTTGCCGATATTCTTCTGGGTCATTTGGACGATGTTCTTGAAAAAATCTCCCGATGCATACAAGTATAGGACTGACGAAGAACTGTACTTCGTGGACGAACATGGAAAACGAATCAAATTTCCCAAACTATCTGATGAACCTGTGATCGATTTGTCAGTCATAGTACCTGCGTATAACGAACAAGATAGATGTAGTGTTTAAATAATCAAGCGATCCATGTCCAGTGTTTTATTTTTGTAACATTTTTTTGTGTTCAGTAAAGCCTATGTTGGATTCATGTTTACGCTGGTTGTCTGACCGCAAGTCATCGTTTGAAGTGATCATTGTTAGCGACGGTAGTACCGACAAGACATGTGATGTGGTCATGAAGTATGTAATAAACTATGGAGCGAATCGGGTACGTTTGTTGAAATTAGTCAAAAACCGAGGAAAAGGAGGAGCCGTTGGTTTTGTGAGTAAAATAACTTTAATATAATACTATTTCTAACTACAAATTATAAAACAACTTATGTTTGTAGGGAATGCAAAGTGCACGTGGACGCACTTTACTATTTGCCGATGCTGATGGTGCTACACAGTTTGAAGACTTAGAAAAATTAGAAACAGCATTACAATCTTTAATTGAAAGTAATAATTTACTAAAATAAATTAAGTATTTATTCTTCTTCTTCTTCGTAGTTTACGGCCTTTAAGACCAAACTGACAAACATATGCCATGCCATCTCTCTAAAATAAATAAAATTAAGTATTTATAGTCTATTATAATTTAAGAATCTCCCATAAATAATAATAAGAATTTGGAGTGGTTAACATTTAAGATATTTCAAATGCAATTTAATTGTTTCAAGTGTACACTGCAAATTGGCTCTAAAATTTTTTTTTCTTTATTAGTTATAAACAATTTCTCAAAAAAAAAAAAAAGTAAAACATTAAATAATAGGTTAAAATACAAGTCAACATGATATAACATATTAACGGTTTAAAATATATTATATTTTATAATAAAGTTAAAAGTTAAATTTATTTTTCCAAATTATAATACATTATTTTAATTATTTAGATAGGTAATTCTTAATTATACTATTTTAATTTTTTTAATTAGCAAAAAAAAAAAATCTTAATGATTATAGTTATGAAGTTAATACTATTTAATATTATTTTTGTTACTTAGAAGAAAATTAATTTTATGTTTTTGTCATAGTTTGGAATTTCTGTATGTGATCATTCATTTGTGATTATTGATGTTCAGGTTTTTTTTTTTTTTTTAATGAAGGTTTATTTAAAATTATTTAAATATTTTTCAAATTTATTTTCAACATAACGCTCATATTTATTGCGTTTCGCTTGATATAAATCCTATGTAATGTTGCTATATTGCAATATAATAAGATACAATTATTCTTTGTTATTCAAGTATTATAATTAATTTTATTATTTTTACTGACAATGTTATTATTCTTTTATTATAATTTGTAATATAATAAATATTAATACAAATAAATTTGAAATTTTTCTATTATTAATTGACATTCGTCAATTATGTACTAACATATTGTGTATGATGTTAATTACTTGTTGATGTTTAAATTATTAAAAAAATATTTGTATTTATTACATTTAAGTATTGTTTTGGTGAATGTCAATATCCAACAGTGATTTTTACAATCTATTTATATCAGTTTTTCAAAGTAACATAATATTATACATAATATTTTTCAAATACTTACCTATTCATTAACTATAATATTTTTTTTTTGGGAACAAAATACATGGATTAGTTTTTAATTCATAGATTTATACTGCTTTAATTTAAACAACCAATAGTAATTGATGATTTTTTTGCCAATTATTATTTAATACATTTTAACTTGTTTCTTCTATTAACAGGTGCTGATTATGATAATTCTGCTAAAAACAACGACATACAAGCAGTTGTGTGTGGCTCTCGTGCTCATTTAGAAAGTGAGGCCAAAGCGCAAAGAAGTATATTCCGTACATTGTTAATGATGGCCTTTCATATCCATGTATGGATGTTTGGTGTACGATCTATTAAAGATACACAGTGTGGTTTTAAACTATTTACTCGGTCTGCTGCTAGAGTTCTATTCAATAATTTACATGTTGACAGATGGTGAATATATGTATTTATATTATTCCTAAATTCAACTATATGTATTATTAACATACATTTTAATGAACTTCATGATTACTCTAAAAATCTTCTAGGGCTTTTGATGTAGAAATTTTATATATTGCTGAAAAAATGAAAATGAGCTTAGCTGAAGTAGCAGTAAATTGGACAGAAATTGATGGTACTTTTACTGAAAAATTGTGAACTTTAATGTAATACTTAAAAATCTTTTATTATTTTAGGCTCAAAAATAGTTCCTGTGTGGAGTTGGCTTCAAATGGGTTTTGATGTATTGGAAATATGGTTAAGATACCGTACTGGATCGTGGAAAATCCAATACAAGCCAGAATAACTTCCGCACCAATTTATTTAAATATTTTTGACCCTGATTTTTTAGGAAAAATAAGATAAAATTCTGAATGATCATTTATTATAATATTAAGTAATAGCTTTCCATATAAATTTCTTTATCAAAGTATCAATTGTGATAAAATTTAATTTAAGACTTAAAAATGAATTACTTTTAATTTATTTTATTACTTTGTCCTAAGGAGAATTGATATACCAGTTAAATAATTATTCTATAATGTATATCTATATTGTTATATTTTTAGAATAAGTTCCTTTTTGTATAAATAATTGTGTATTATATAATTTATCAAATATAGTTATGCCATAAGTATGCAATACATATTTTTAATTTTATATATTCCAGGTTTATACAAAGTATACACTATAATTTAAATAAAGTTCAAAATAGTTGATATTTTTTTGATTTTGTTAATATAGGCCCAATTTATTCTTAATATATCACAGCTAAAAATCTTCCTAAACTGTTGAAGTATATTTATATTATAAATATCACACTATTATTTTATCTTTGAGTGATGATTCAATTATTGAATTATTGTTAATAATTTGAAGTTTATACAAATAAATATATTATAAAATTATTAATAATTATTTCGAAATTGTGATTTATTTTTGTAATCTGAGACTGATCACTGATCAATATTAAATAAACATTATTGATAAAGTTTTCATACATTTCCATAAAAAATTATAAAATATAAATAATACTTCTAATAATTGTACTATACTACTTATGGAATAATTATTATAAGAATATGTTTGTAATTTAACTGCTCTACATTGGAATTGCCCCCAAAAAAAAAAAAAAATTAATAAATTAGTTAATAAATGAAATGTTAAGTAAAAAAACTATTTAAATATCTGTAAACATACTTTTTAAATATTAACTAATGATTTTATTCTTTCCATAAATAATTATTATGTAACATTTAATTTATTTTAATTGGCTTATATTTTACAGAACATTGTATAATGGATTTCCTATAGTTTTAAGAACATTTTACAAAATGTAAATTTCTATAAAATCTATATATTATTTAAAATATTGTAAAATGAAGAAGTATTATAATTAATAAAGATGTTTCTAAAACCAAATATTTTATTTCTTTAGTTTTTAATGTAACAAATAAATTATTCAGTTCAAATACGTATTAATTTTTTTTTAATATATGTATTATCTTTCAACTGAGTATAATTATTATACTCAATTGAAATATAATATACTATAATACTATGCTTTTATTTTTATTTATAAATAAACGGAATTTACCCTTTTGAAAATACAGTTGAAGTGAATGACATACAATTTAGTAAAATATAAGTAAATAACATGTAAACTATAATCATGCAAATAAATCAGTAATCACAGAAAAAAACAATAATAACAATAATAATAATAATAATATAGATAAAATTGTATAAAAATTAATATAAAAAATAATTTGCAATTGAGCTTATTGCTAAATATACATTACGATTAAAAACAATACGCGACATAAAGAAAAAGTCAACATAATTCATAATTTGATTTGCTAACTTAATTTTAAAATATTTGTTCAATCTTAAAATTGTTAAAAGTTAAAATTTCAGCAAAATTGTACATTTTAAAATTTAAACTTTTGAATTATATGTATAAACTTTCACTTTATAAATTTTTAATTAATTATTTCAAATTGTTTTATTTGATAGTTTAATTATAAAACTTATTTAAAATTTATCATTCTAAATGACATAAAAATCGTTAAATTTGATTTAATTTATGTTTTTTATGGAAGTTAATATAAACATTATTAACCTTAATGATTAAATACTTTTGTTTTTATTAACTCATAACTATAATATTAACCACAAAAAAATCACTATAAAATAAATGTTCAGTAAAATATTATTTATGTTAATCAATCATAGTTTAATATTAAATTTATTTTTGTTTTGATAATCTTATTATCTCTCTAAACTAATGAATGAAGTTTTATAGGTTTAAAATAATTACCTATGTAAACATTTTGTTTTTGACTTGTAGACCAATTATTAAAGAATTCAACATATAATGTTTTTGTGTAAACTTAAGATGCATTAATTAATTAATTTATTTATTTTAATTTCACCCAATAAACATATACATAATTCATGGTTTATCAATATTCACTTTGAGAACTTCCAGTCTTTCATTGATGTACAAGACATTGAATTGAAAAATTGTATGATTATTTTCGAATGCTTGATAGAGGAATATACATGGCACACGAAAGTACATTGGTTAAAATCTTGGAAGCTAATATACCGAGTTATAATGGATTTGTGCAATACTTCTTGTCATTCTCGTTACCACAGCTTCGGTTGAAAGATCCTTCGCCACAATGAATAGATTTCTTACAAAGACAAGAAAAATATGCTACTAGGAACTTTAATATATTGTATGCTTATCAGTATTGAAGGGCCTGACGTTCCAACAGAAGTTTTCTTGTACAAAACGGTAGATTTGTACGCAACTAAAAAAAAAAAAATCGCCGGATTCGGTTTTTTTAGAAAGTATATAATTTAAAATAATTTGAAAAGATTTTGATTTTGTACCTACCTATATTTATCATAATACGCAATATAGTTTAAAATAAGGTTGGTATATAATTATACTATGTATTTATGTAAAACTTGTGAAATGTTTATTTAATTATATCGTTCACGTCGCAATAAGAGATAACAACTATTAGTATCAAAATATTTATTTTTCTTAATGTAGTAATAAAAATATATTCGACCCCGGATTTTTTGAAATGCCCATCTAGAGAGAAAATTGTCTAAAAGAAAAACACTGCATACGACGGGCGATTGAGATGTTGGACTTAAAACCGACCGTGAACGCGACGATGGTGGCGCGACGATAACGGCGGGACGCGCGCGTCTCATTGGCCCACCGTAGCCGGTGCAATTCGAAATTTCGTGGCGACCGGCGGTGGACCGGCTGCCGAGTGCCATTCATTCCGATTCCTGTCATCATTGTGTGCGTTTGTTCCGCGTTCTGTTGTCGCTTTTGCCACCGCGGTCGATGTCGCGATTTGCCACCTGAATTATCACCGTCCATGTGTCACCAACACTGCTGCATGTACGATGCCGATATGAAACACAAAGAACACAATCGCAACAGGTGATGTATGCAATTGTAATGTAATTATTTTTGAAAGATGATTATACGTCAAAGTTCAATCCGCTGAAACGTTCTATAATCATTTTCATTAGAATAAACATTTCTTTATCGGTATTTTAAAATACTTTTACTAGTTACATTTTTTTTTTTTATTATCATTCGGAGAGGGAATATTTGTGTTGTAAATAATAAACTTGACTTGTCAAGTTATATTAGTTCATCGTTACCGATTCAATTATTAAACCGATCTTATTGTATACAAGCCCTGATTTACGCAAGTGCAAATCGAGCACTTGCACTTGGCCCCCAATTTCTGCCCCTCCCCTCCCGGTCGTCGTAAGTTGTAGAAAATTGTATTTTTAAATTAATTCCACTAACATTTATTTTGTAAAATGTAATATCAAAGGTCATTGTTTAGAGTTCAGTATATTTTTATCATTAAATTTTTAGTTGAATTTTGGTTATTTTTGTCATTCCACACTCACGTTTTAATCAATTATCATCACAAAATATTAAAATAATAATTAAAGAAAATTGTTTGAACATCTGAAATATTTGATACCTAATAACTAGAGCTAGAGACTTCTCATGCTCTTAAAAACCTTAAAATATGCATGCATATATGCCCTTAAAAATTATCATATATGCTATTTAAATTTACAAAAATGCTAAAATATGCTCTTAAATATGCTCTTAAATATGCTCTAAAATATTTTTTTATTTTTCGTAGAAAACGTAAAGAAATTACAAATTTATAAAGGTACACTTATACTTCATTTCTTCTTTATGCTTGCCTTTAAAGAGAAAAAAATACAAAAATTTCAATTATAAATGCATATTGTTTTAATGATTTAACAATTTTTTAAACCTTACCGAAATGAATTGCACTGCGTCACTAAAATTTGTTTTATATTTTCAAACGTAAATGACCGACGATTATTCGCCAGTAAATTTTTTTACCTTGAAAATGAACGCTCGACATCAACAGATGTTAGTGAAGCGAATTTATAGAACTGTAAATCGTTGACTTGCAAGTTTTCAATATTTTCCATAGAACTGTCTATTCCTTCTAAAATATTGGAAATTTTTTCAATAATTTTAAATCCTTCATTTTTTGACAGAACATTTTGCAATTTTTTGTAAATAGCCTTTCCTTTTTCTCTTTGTGGACTTTGTAATTTTTCCTTAACAGTTTTTACGACGGAAATAGACTCAGAGAGCATCATGTTTTGTTTTTCCAAATGTGTAATATAAATCGAAAGAAAACTATAGTTTGAAGAAATAAATGCCAAGTTTGCTTTCAAATCTGGGTTGTTAAAAATATCTTTAGCTTTTTTTATGCTGCTCACGTCATTTTCATCTAACTTATTAAAAATATTTTTTATTACTTCATAATTCTCACAATAATATTTAGTTGCATCCAACCATATTCCCCAACGAGTTAAAATCGGTTGTGATTGCATTAAGATGTCAGGAGCTTCATTTTTAAATATACGAGTTCGAGATGGTGCTTTCAAAAATATTTTTTTTACACTTGATATAAGTTGGTCAACTGTATTAAAATATGAACGTACTTCTTCGGCCACTCGATGAAATCCATGTATTATACATGTTACATGCACCATCTTTGTGTAAAGTGCTTGAATTGCCTTTCCCGATTTCACCATATACGGTGCAGCATCCGACAAAAATAACAAGACGCTATCATGTTGAACGCCTTGTGGCCATAACAAATTCATGGATTTATCAAAAAGTTTAAAAATAGTTTGATGGTTAGCTTTTTCTAATTCTTCTGTATTTATCAAAAATATCTCACCCAGTCCGTCGGTTAGTAAAACTCCTATAATAACATTGGCTACGAAGCGACTTTCGATGTCAGTCGTCTCGTCAATAGATACCCATATTTTGATATTTGATACGTGATTTCGTATTTTTTCTAAAGTATTTTTATAACAGTCTTCTATGTAACCTTTACGAAGAGTAGCTTCCTTTGGAATTTCTTTTCCAGTATACTCTTGTAAAAATTATCTGAATTTTACATTTTCTAATTTGTATAAAGGAATA